TTCGAGTACAACCTTGGTTATTTCAAAATTAACAGACTAGAAATCTTACTGGTAACATGGCTGGCTGCCGATTATCTTGGATTTGAGGGTTTGAACAAGATATTGCAAGATTTAATTATAAATGCACAAGATATACTGTACTGTAAACATGCATCTACTTGAAGAATGTAAAATGAACAGTGATGAGTGATGTAATATAATTCTGCACTTTAATATTTGGAAAACCTTTTTGGCAAATCTTGAGAATAATGGCTTTGGGAATCAATGTTGAAAATTAAAAACTGTCAGATAGCCGCATGGACAGCATGGTTAGAAGCATACATGTCATCAGATGAAACTCCAACTTTTGTTAATTGCTGATGTTCTAGTATTGGAATGAACAGTGTTATAAGAACCAATGGTGCTGAACTATTTTGGGTTTATTATAAAATATTGTTTATCATTTAGTTCTGGCCATTAACCTTACCTATTAAGTTACACATTGTGTCTTACTTTTTATTTTACTCTGGTGTGCACCCCCCCCCCCCAGGCTCTGGTCAACAGGGGTGCATGTGGGGGGGGGTGCAAAAATGATGTTTATCCCAATTCTAACCAACTTATGTTAAGGAATTCAGTTGGGTATCACTAGTTGACAATAGTGGAATAGCCAATATTAAATATTCTGAATTTTTTAAATGTTTTGAGAATCTAAAAATTTTCCAAAATGTTTTCTCAGAATGCTGGAAATGCCATTTCAGAGACCCAAATTTTAAAAATTTTCTGTGGTACTATGCCCGGCCCGGACCACCCTAGAAATCTCGCGTCTTCGGCGCTCGTTTCGCCATTGGTTAGCACCCCCCAAAAAAACTTTGCTGGATCCACCACTGCACCAGATGATTTTATGTTGGGATAGATCATTGGTGTTCAATGGATTATCTCATAATACACACTAGTTTGTTAACCTACTCTAACACCATCATTGCAAAGGAATTGAGCAGTGATGTAGCCAGAATTTCTAATTAAGGCCTTCAAGGGGGACTGAAATCCCCAGGAGGGGCCTGCACTAGTTTGAATAAAGTTTGTTAGTATGTAAATATATATTTGGACTCCCAAGCTATCCATGTATAATATAGTACAATGTAGACTTTTTAAATTCTAGTTAATAAAGTGCCATTTTGGGGGCTATTTTAATGTGTTTTGGTGATTTGAAATAGCCTTGCAGTTAACACATGTTCAACTCTAATTAATTACAAACAAGTTCAGAACATTTAAAATATTTTGACCCCCCCCCCTGGTTACACCACTGGAATTGACTTGAGCCTTTTAGACCTCTGAATTTTAGTTGCAACTTAGAACAGTGTTCTGACATACAAGAAAATTGTAAGAAAATTTAAAATTTGTGCATTTCTCAAATAGGTCGTTCCAGAAAATATCCACACTCCCCCCACAGGGAAATTTCTGCCGTTCAGAGGGGGAGGGGGGAAAAATTGTTTCTGATAATAATAAATGTATTAGGACATCCAAAGGGGTATGAGGGATTAACTTTCAATTTCCTCTGTGGGAGTGGTATAAAAATTGTGACCAATCAGGTTGGGGGCCCACCTGTAGGCCTGGTCATAGGCGTACAGGGCGGGGCTCAATTGTTGGGCAGACTAGGCCAGTCGGGCAATATTGACTTCACAGTTGGGCAATATTGGCTTATTATAAAAATAAATAGGAGAAATTATTCCCTCAATATTGGGGGAAATATGCTATATAATGGTCGAAATTTAGTTCATTTTGATTAATAGTCATTTACTATATGTGCTATCAACAGTTTCTTTATGGTATTAAGTGACAGATTACAATGTTTGTACATTAGAGATTTAGAGGCACTAATAATCAATAATAAATAGGCACTAATACAAACTCTGAGCCAGTGCACCCAGCATCCTCAAATTGGGAATAATTTGTAAATTTAAATATTTGTGTATAATTCATAATTTATCCTATTCCAATACAAAATGCAATAATGTAGAACACACAATTTATCAAATAAAGGTAAAAAAGGTATTAAAAATTTTATTATGTAATATTTACATTGAATATCGTGGTTGAAGTTGTAGATTTATAATTGAAATTTCAATTTTCGAACGAGAATGTTTCGCTTTATTATGTTAATTTTTTTACTCTGTTCGCCATTCTTGCTTATTTACAAATACAAATAGTCCATTTCTTCTTTTGCTCTTTTCAAAATAGCCCAGAATTGATTTAAGGAAGTATTTTCATGCAAAAACCAGCATTTAACTTTTGTATACACTCCTTGTGATAGCAGCCATGTTGCCAAAATTCGCATTGACCAATCAAATCACGTTCTGAGTTGGATTATCCCAGGGCTTCTGAGAGCAATAAGCGCAGAAGCCCTGGGTACGAGGTTGTCCGCTTATCCGTTCAAGACCTCAAGCTCGCGCGAAATTGTAGAATAATATTAAACGTAAGGTATTTTGAAGATGTTATCAAATTTTGAACAAAATCTCTTTAGTTTTCGTGTGTAAATGCCAAAGTTGATTCATTTGCAACAGACCCGTATAAGTATGGTTCGATTTCGGTTTTCCTCCGGTTTTTTCGGTTTTCCGGTCTTTCTCCAAAAGTAACATCGAGTAATTCGGTTTTCAGAAAATTTCGGTTTTACCGCCTCACCCTAGAACTTCTCCCTTTTGTGTTTGGCGAGCCATTGGCAATTTGTCAAACTAAATAAAGTTTACTAATAAGTGAACTTACAAGTTCCACGCTGCATTCCTTCACCGTGACGTCATAAAACATGAACGTTTCTACTGGCTTTCGACTGTCTTTTCAACTTCCGGAAAAGACACTCTACTGATTTCGGTAATATTTAGTGCCACGTTTGAGGATATCATGTGGAACATCTTAGGAAGGTATTTCACCGTTTAAGGGAAAATGGGGGTAAAGCTAAAACCCAAAAGTGTAAGTTGTTCGAGAGAGAAGTAGTGTTTTTGGGACATATTGTTTTAGAAAGCGGTTATCGAATGTATCCTGCAGGAGTAAAGTTTATCCACTATTTGAAGGTGTCCCCTCTAAAAACCGTTGGTGATGTTAGGCGTTTAATGGGATTGCTAATTTGCTATCGGAGATACATTCCAAATTTCTCTAGAAAAGCGAAACTAATATACGATCTAATTAAGAGTGACGGTGTAGAAACAGGAAATAGCAAAGGTAATATGAAATCGAAAGGACAGTTATCTTCTAGTACTATTGTGCAATGGACTAACTATCATCAACTCTTTCTTGAAAACCTGTCAGATTATTTGGTTGACCCACCTGTGATGGCTTACCCAGATTTTACCAAACCGTTTATTGTGTGCACTGACGCGTATGAAGGGGGACTGGGAGCCGTGCTGTACCAAAGTCAAAACGGTGAAACAAGAGTTATTGCGTTTGCTTCTCAAAGCTTGACACGCGCCGAAAGAAATTACCATCACCATTCGGGCAAGTTGGAATTCCTTGCACTAAAGTGGACGATCTGTGACCATTCTCGAAACTATTTGTATTATGCCTCGGAATTTACAGTCTATACTGACAACAACGCACTCACGTACATCTTGTCTTCCGCAAAACGTAATGCAACGGGTTTACGTTGGGTCGGAGAACTGGCAGATTTCAATTTCACTATCAAATACCGCCCCGGTAAAGTGAACACTGATGCAGACGCGCGCGCTGTCAAGTTTTTACCAAATGTCGATAGTTAAATGGAGTTGTGCACCGAGAAAATTGCAATGGATACTGATGTCCAAGCCGTGGAATCATCAATTTTGGAACAGCAAGAGAGTAACATCAGCTGGATCACGCTTTTACTGCAAATCAGGATGTGTTAGAAGAAGATATGAAGCACATTAACATTGTTTCCATGAACATCATTTCTTGTGACGAATTGCACTTGGCCAAAGAGACGACACACCAATTAGCAAAGTGATCATATGGATTGAATCGAAAGAGAGACCCACTTCGAAAAAAACATCTAATGAATCACGCTATACACGGTACCTCCTGCACGAGTGGAACAAGTTGGAATTGGACAAACATGGATTACTTCGGAGAAAACTTGGTTTGAAGAATCGAATAGTTTTACCTAAAAGCTCCATTGGTTGGTGTACGAGGAACTTCACGAGAAAATGGGCCACTTAGAAGCAGATAGGGTACTGGAACTTGCCCGTGCTCGGTTCTATTGGCCGTACATGCAGAGAGATGTAGAATCTTACATTTCACATAAATGTCGTTGTGTGAAGCAAAACTATAGTTCCTACCTTTCAAACTAGAGCACCATTACAGTCCATTACAACAACTGCTCCATTCCAGATGGTGTCTTTAGACTTTGTTCATCTTGAGAAAAGTGGTGGTGGTTACGAGTATATCTTGGTTATAATGGATCATTTTACCCGTTACGCACAAGCCTATGCAACCCGAATTCAGTCTGCAAAAGCAGCGGCGGAAAAGTTATATAACGACTTTATTTTGCGTTTCGGTTTTCCAGAAAAACTCCACGATCAAGGAGGAGAATTTGAAAATCACCTCTTCAAACAATTGGGAAAGCTGTGTGGCATTGGACATTCAAGGACTACCCCGTATCCAGGGGCGGATCTAGGGATGATCAGAGCGATCACGCGACTAAGGTAAAAATTGGCCAGGAAATTGTTAAATTAAAATAGCAATCCAGTTATAAAACTTCGCGCAGTGTATTGTATTGAAAGTTTAATAGTCCAGTTCTAAGATATCATCCAGTAGCAAGGCCTTCGAACATGAACGCGCAGAAAAGCGGTCTTACGCATGAGTTTTGCACGCTCTGAGTCAGATTCCAGCCATCTGATTGGCTATCTCGATTTTTGCGCGATCTGTGGGGAGTTCTGATCGCTAAAGCGATCAGGGGCTCGAATACAGGCTATCTGATTGGCTAATTCAAAAAAATTCTCAATTCCCGTTGGCTGGATTTTTTTGATCGATCATACCGCTCAGGCTAATAGTATGCACGGAAAGGTCTATGACGTTGCTGGTCTTTCTGATCAAGCAGCACTATTTATGTAAATTGACTGAAATATTATGTAAATTTCGTCTCCTATTATTATACGCGTACCCGCCGATTTTATAGCATGTGCGTTTTATGGCAATCGGAAAATTTATCAGAACTTCTAAACTAATACTACCCATGTCTGTTCGTAATTACGAAACCGCAAAGGCTGCTTTAGAGAATCTGATCGACAATATATGACTAATATGTAACCGAAGCGTTCCGTTATAAAAGACTTATTGAGCGCTGTGAACAACACAAGCTTCTTCCTCGCACCGCGAAATTTTGGTGTGGAATCTTACATCCCGAATTACGTCCGAGAGAAAACAAAAAAGTTTTGTACGGGCTTAAGGTAAATATATTCTATTTTAACTAGATATAGCATTATAGCTGTTGTAAGCTGTAGTGGATTGCGCGCTGTATGTAATAAGAGACGAAATTTACATAATATTTCGGTCAATTTACACAATACTGCGGCTTAATACAAGCAGTTTCAGTTTGTTTATACTTTGTTTATGCCTCTTGTGGAATGTAGGCTTTATATATTGATCAGATACTTAATAATACTGTATTATTTATACCTAGTTGTCTAGTATATTAAAACTACAAGCACATGACAATGTGGCATGGCTTTGTGTAATACGATCTCTACAACATGTATACAATAAAAGTAAAATGCATCATGTTGCCATTGTGAATACTTATTCATGGCATACGTTTCTGCTACGAATAAAACTCGAGAAGCAGTGAATTAAACGTGGAAATTCTCTTCCTGCGAATTAACAATCAATCAAATGTTTTATAAAACTACATCGCTATATTTGAAAATCGTTTGACCATTCATGTAAATTAAGGACACAATATGGAGTTATGTGTTTCCCAGGCATGCTGACGAGCCCTGAATTGGGCGAAACAGTAATTTTTCATCTAACATTTTTTCGTAAAACTGGATATAAATTAATTCGCTTTGCAACCCCCCCCCCCTTGATGCTCAGCAACGAAATTTTTGACTAACGTACGAAAAATTCTAGATCCGCCCCTGCCCGTATCATCGGCAAGGCAATGGCCAAGTGGAACGCTTCAATCGTACCCTCCTTGCCATGCTGTGAACCCTACCGGAAACGCAAAAATCACACTGGTGATTGTGCAAACCAATCAGCCTTCGCGATTTCAATGAAATCAATTTACATACTTGCATATTTGTTCGTTCTCGTTCTTTGGTGCAGGTTAACTATTTAGAAAATTTACTCGTGACAACTCGTCTGTAGTCGTTTGTAGTCGTCTATTACTCGTCTGCATGTTACTCGTCTGTCACTCGCGTGTAGTTTTAGAATATAGATCGTTGTGAAACTACCATACCGCAATCTCAAACATACCTGAAATAGATGAGCTTCCATTGAGCTAAATAAAAGATTTACATTTTGATACCACCATCGCTACTTTTTTTGAAGTATAGTAATTGTACAGATGCATGGAGACCCGGGCTTATAGCTCCAAAGCTTTCTAAACAAATACCGCTGTATTTTCTACGAAAATATGTACTTAAGTCTCAAATCCTATTATTGTTCTCATTTAATTGTAGATATTAAAGTTCTCGTGACAGGAACGAGTTAAAACTGACCATTGACCTTGCCTTTGAAATCACAACACATGTGACGACCCCACATCAGAAATTAATCAGACAGATTGAATTTCATGTTCCGGTCCATTATTGGCGAGAGGATTCCTCGAAGAGATTTGTTGTTTATTCGAATTTTGTGAAGGTCGTCTCTGTTCCTTCTGCTGTTTTCATAATTTCTATGAGAGATATGTTAGGTAAGTGAAAACTACTTGAAAATGGATCTTAATAGTTTTACTGCTGTCTTTCAAAATGTATAATATTAATATTTATTCAGCGCGTAACATTGCCATAAGCTGACGCACAAATATTCGTCCAAAATCAACGTTTCAGACAATTTTAAAACAAGAGTACAAGACCGAACGAATTAAGTTTTAACCGCTAATTTTAATTAAGTTTCAATTTTTTCTCCTTGTGACTTGTTTACAAGGGAACTGCTACGGTGAGCTTGCTCGAATTCAACCTGTTTCATGTATCCAATGAGAGCGCGGGAGCCAAAATGCGGTACCTTTGAGCACAGTGCGTGAATCGGAGGCTGGTGGCAGAAACTGGTATACTATAGCTGTGTGGTTATTACTTCATAAGCGATCAATGTTTTGTTTCCAGTGCATATTATCACATATTTATAATTTGTCAGTCACGATTTGGAAATATAACGCTTCAAGGCTTTATAATTTTTGGAAGCGTTCGACAGAATCGACACTTTATATCACACTATAGCTATGGCATATACATGTTATAAAATTTTGTTTGACGGTTTTTATGCCGATGTGCTCGGTGAAATATAAACATTATACAACCGTTTTCCTGCACACATCCATATTTTTTCAGAAATACGTTCTGATGTGCAGTAATATATTGTTTACTGTCAAGGTAGCCGCGGATTCGGCTTTAGATTCGGCCTCGGATTGCCTCATATCAAGCCTTACATTCAATTGTGTCATCAGTCATTCAAAGGTATATTATTTGAAACCCTCTTTCAAGCTACTTTAAAAGATATTTTTATTGCAAATTAGCACTAACTGGAGCAATGCAACGTATCTATATCCATTGGTGGGGAAACATACGAAAACAAGCTTAATTATTCGTGGCCTCGTGGGATAAATTCAACATTTAAATTTGGACACTGCGCATACTTGTTCCATTTTATATGTCACAGATTATTGGGGGGGAAATGGATAAATAAAAATGCTCAAAAGCGATAACGTTAAAATTCGAGAGTACTGTAGATATTTCATGCTGCTTTCAACCCCTTATAGCAATAAGATGGCACAAAAAACCCCGGTTTTTCGTGATATATGACACTTAGCAAAATGCGCATGTTCCCGCATACTTTATTTTCAGACAATATTTGCGAAACAGCATTAGCAGCACCAAGTAAGACAGGTCAAATATTTAATGACATACGTATATAAAGTCCACGTTCAGCGACCAATCAGTGGCGTAGACAAGGGGGGGGGGGCAAGGGGGGGGGGCTCAGCCCCCCAATAGGCTGAAGGACTGCCCTTGTAAAAAGATGAAATCCGGGTAGAAATTAGGGGGGGACGATGACTACCCATGTGACTACCAATCTCATCTGTTCACCAAATTGTCTATAAAAGTTCTAATCTTTCCTAAATCTTACTACAGAAAATAATGCCTATGGTGGTTATTGGTTAAAATGCGTTTTAAAACTTCGATTTAACTATTTACACGCGACCAAGTAAGTTCGTTGAGTCAAATTAAGGATCCACATTATTGAGAAATCATTAAAAATCAGGTCTTTCCTGCAGTAAATAATCTTCAGAATTATGCAAAATCTCTCCCCAGAAACACGGGAAATTGCCATTGAGGGACTCCAGATTTCAAAATTTTCCCCAGACCCCCCTAAAAAGGCTTACGCCTTCGACGTTCGATTATATGCCCCCCCCCCAAAAAAAAAAAAAAAAATTATAGTCTGGCTACGCCACTGCGACCAATTATATGCTTAATTGAATGTACTGACCTATTTACTTTGAAGGTCAAGTAATTATCTGCAATCTTGGAATCTGTCCATTCAAATACAGCATGTTGTGGCACAAGCGTAGAAACTCCGAAATCGTAACTTCTGCATGATAACTTGCACTGGTATAATTACGCGCCAAACACCACTTAAACGTCCATCTTCATTATTCTTCACGATACGTTTGCGCAGAATCTGTAATCCCATTTCCTTTTAATTTAAAGTCCAATATATTTCAGTATTTTACAGTATTTCTATCGATATACAACGTGTTGTGACACAAGCGGACGAACATTGAGAGCTAATGAAGTTAATTAAAATTAGGTGTATTTACAAAATGCCATGCAGACCATAGGGATACACCGCTTAAACTCCTCAGGTTTGTCCATTATGACAGCAAAAAACAACAGCAATAATATTGCTGCATAAAATATTTTATTTTATGGGACCACAAAGAAAACGAAAATATTCTCTGCAAGCAAACGCGCACGCTGGGAATCTTATGTTTTTATTTAAATTTGATCATCATTAAACAAGATTCTGTGTATTCTATGCACCATTTCATTAGATTTGAAATCAAAATAGACGTATTTCAACATGGCTACCGCGAATAAATATTCTTTTAAAAGACTTTTAAGTTGTATCCCGTATGCAAATAAGCCTTTGTATATTGATTTTCACCAACATTTGCCTAGTATTGAAGATGAAATTGAAGGTTACAGTAGGGAACAACTTATATTTTAATTTAAAAACAAATATTTACATTTTAATGAATGATGAAAGTGACCACTGAAGAGTGGGAACTGCATGTCTGCAGTTTAATTAATAAATTAAGACTCTAAAATCTAAATTCTTATAATTTTAATATATTTGTCATGAAAATCATCTTAATTAATTTCACGAGAAGGGCAGAAGTCTGTTGTGTATTGGAGCATATTGCTTATATTTTTTTTACTATTTTTTTTCTGTGTTGGTGTAATGTACTCAGGTGAATATGATGCTTGTGATGTTACTCTGAGTGTATATCCACACCGGGCAAACTTGAAATATATGCCTGGTCACAGTGGGAATCGAACCTCGACCTTTGGAATACTACCCCAATGCTCTGCCAACTTTTTTACTAGTTACTACATTGTAAGAAAACACCACACTCGTAGACTTTTTAATCCACATAGTTGTTAAATAAGTTGTATTTGTATATGACTGGATTGGTAATTTCAGAAGTAGCCAAAACACTAGATGAAACCAATTATTACAACCGCATAGAAGATTTTGTCTGATATCTGCCGAGACTGTTGTCTGCCTGTCTTTGACCATAATATTACATGCATCCGGCTGCTGGAGTGCTGCCTGGTGCCTGTACCGGTATATTGGAAACTTGTGTTTAACTTGCATGTTGCAAATATCACTAGTTCACTACCTACAGCTAGTTATTCACTTATGTAATTTTTTTTCTCATTTTCTTCCTTTGTGTTTTTTCTTTCTTTCTCTTTACTTTTTTTTCTGTTGAGACTTTTAAGTTTTACCCTCCATTTTTTCCGCCAACCTCAAACATTTTCTGGGGTCAATGGTCCGTGGTCCGCTATAAAGTTCTTCCGTGAGATTGGCCTAAACTAGCTGAGAGTCTGAAACAAAACCTACAAATAATCTTGATTCTCTACAATACGTCACTCCCAGTATTAGTCAATTTATAAGTTCTTTGTATGATTGCATAGCGATAAAATATATAATAGTTTTGTTCGTGGAAACACCACGTAAATTTATTACTGCAGTAATAAATTAATTTACGTGGTGTTTCCACAAACAAAACTATTATATAGTCAATTTATGTTTAAACAAATTTCTACACATACCACAGGAAACAAAATTAATAGAGAACGATATCCAATAATTATTGACTGAAGGGGCTATCCACCCAGTTCCATTAAGTGAAATTCAAGATGAGTTTGTCCGTAACCTGTGTCTTGTCTCCCAAAAGGGGGTGGCAAACACCAGTAATAGACTTAATGAGTTCAAATCAATTTGTGAAGTACAAACACTTCAAAATTGAAAATATCCATATGCTTCGCGACCTATTAAAAAAAGAAGATTAACTGATCAAAATAAATTTGAAAGAGACTTATTTCACACTCTCTATTTGATAAACCATCGCAAATTTCTCAGTTCCTCTGGAAAGAGAATCTGCACGAGTTTGCCTGTCTTCCTTTCGGACTAGCATCGGCCCCACGAATTTTCACAAAGATTCTGAAACCAGTGATAAAGTTCTTACGACAGTTAGCGATTAAATTTATAAGTTTATCTAGACGACATACTGATAGGGGCTTCGGTGGCGAAGTGGTTAGCGCACTTGCCTTTCACCTCTAAGGTCGCAGGTT